TTATTTTTTTGTGCTAGTATTATGGCTTGAACTCAGGGCCTTGTATTCTTACTTGACCTTGTCACTCAAGACTATTATTCTACCATTAGAGCCAAATCTCTACTTCTGTTTTTTTTGCTGATTATTTGGGAATAAGAGTCTCATGGATTTTTCTGCTGGGCTAGCTTTGAACCACAATCCTCAGATCTCAGCCTCCAGAGTAGCTAGGATTACAGATGTGAGCCACTAGCACCTGACTCATCTGTACTTTTTTTGGGGGGGGGGTCTGGTCGTGGGGCCTGAACTCTGGGCCTGGGCGCTGTTCCTCAGCTCTTCAGCTCAAGGCGAGCGCTCTACCACTTGAGCCACAGTGCCACTTCTGGCTTTTTTCTTTTTGCTTATGTGGTGCTGAGGAATCGAACCCAGGGCCTCAGGCATGCAAGACAAGCGCTCTACCACTGAGCCACCTTCCCAGCCCCCTTTATTCTTTTTTTAATAGGTGGCTTTGCATTCATACAAACATTCTAGTTCTGCACATGGCTAAGAATGTCCCTTTGAACATGCTTTCCAGCCTCTCCAAGTTTTCTTATCTATTTACCAGGGGTTAATGGGGTTTTAAAATCTCTAGGTATCTATCTCCTTTGGGCTTTTGTGCAAGAAGGCAAGTGGTAAAGATCCCTGCCGTGTATGATGAGTAAGTGGGCTCCATAGTTTTTGTAGAGATGGGGGATTCCGGTGATCTGTCCTCTAACACGAGGCCCTCTGAGTGCCTTGGGGCAGGTCAGTCAGTGGTGGGCAGCTGAGGGACTGAGTTTGTCACCCAGGATGAGGATGTGGGATTTGACACGGGTGTGACCACTGCAGATGCAGAAGCCCCAGATGGTTGTGGGGCCCAGGCAGCAGTCCAGACACCCCAGTTTCTAAGCGGCTGGATGTTTCCTCTGTAGATAATCATATTGGGGCTGGTTGACAGGTGGGCACAACTCTGGAGTAGACTTGAGAAGTCACCCCATACCCAGCTTTCTAGCCCTGAAGGGGCAGGCTTCGCAAAGCATGGGCTGGGAGTGGCAGTATCTAGGATAGCTGTAGGCCCATGGGTGAAGGCTGGCTAGCCCCTTTAGGGAACGGGTTCAGTGGCCTAGACTTGGCTAGTGAGGAGGAGGCTGGATCATTGCCTGTGTCTGGTTTAGCTGTACAGAGTGTGGAGATGGAGAGACACGGATAGGTATGGGGATCTCCTGCTGAATGTCGCCACAAAGAAGACTGGGCCTCCTGGGAAGATAGGTCTCCTGAGAGCCCTGCTTTAGCAAAAAGAGGGTGTATTGGGTTCCATAAGATTAAGGAGAAGGAAACCCTCCTCTCCTCCATGGCCCTGAGGTGTCCTGCAGGGATTAGGGACCAGCCTCCAACCCAGCCTGTGGGAAAGATCGAAGCTTTAGAACCAATGAACCAAATAGCAAATTACATACTCATCAGACAGCAAAGGTGTTAACTATACAATTGTTCTGTTAATTGGTGAATCCAAGTTCATTTTGGCTGGCATCTTGTGCTCTGGGCTCTGTTCCCAGTCAGCCTCCAGCAGCCCTGTCCAACACTGCCAACTGGTGCCCGTTCCATCAGCCCCCGGGGTATGTCAGAGTGCACCACACAGTGTCACCCCTTGGCTCTTCCATCTCATCAGACTGGGTTCTCAGGCTAGAGGGACACACATCCTCAGTGCCCCAGGCTGAGCCAGGCTTATGGCTGCACAGAAGAGTAAGCCCTCAGGCAAAAAGATCTCTACACTTCCCTCATTGGTGCCCTGCTGTGCGTGTGACTCTGATTCTCACACCTGTGTTTAAGACCTCTCTGCGTTGCTCCTCTACCTGCAACCCTCATTGTTTCTTACCTGGCTACTGTCAGAAGCTTGCTCACTGCTTTTTTTTTTTTCTTCTGGGTCTCTAATCAGAACATTTGCTGAAGTCTATTAGCCTAATAGTTGTCCATGTACCTACTGTGTTGCAGGCACTTAGTGTGTGACCCAGTGTCACAGTCTCAGTTTCTTCTGTCCTGTTGGATTCTCCACTTTGCACTCTATTCACAGCCAGTGTGGAGGAGGATTGGCATTGGTTTCTGGTTGGCATTCAGGGACCTCTTACCATTTTGTTCGTTTATCCCTCTTTCCTAGTCACGTCCTATGACCCCACCCCCTGCCTTTCATGCATACTGTATGTTTCAGCCACAGTGGTACAAACCCCATCCCCAACTCTTCCCTTCAGCTCTTCTGAGGCCTTATGTCCAAATCTTGTTCCTCTCTGTGATTCAGCTCAGATTCTACCTCCCTCAGGAAGCCTTCTACATCTTACTTGGTCAATATCTGCATGCCCAAAGGCAATCATCACTGTAAGGAGGATGATTGACAGCTCTCCTAGTCTTGTCCTCTTATGAGGTGCTTTCCTGCATCTTGTGTCTTGCAGCCAGCTCTGCCTACTGCAAGGACAGGGTCAGCCCACAGTAGATTCTGAGGAACTGGCTGCCTAATTGAGCATATTATTTCATGCTTGCCCTGAGCTAAGCCCTGAGGATTAAATTTACAACAGTCCTTTAACATAGCTGCTGCTGTTATCCATATGTTCCAGAGGGTGAACTAAGGCTGAGAGATTAGGAAACTTGCCCATGGTTATACAGGTAGCAAGTGGCAGAACTGAGTTGTGTGTCCTGGCTTTTCTGTCTTGTAATTGTTATGTGATCTAAATGAATATTCTCAAAACATGATGCATGGAAGCCATGGGAGGATCTATACTTCTGAAGATGCCACCAATGAAGGAAGAACATTTATTGCTTTTTATTTATTTCATGGTACTGAGGACTGCACCTAGGCCTTCTCAACTGCTCTACCACTTGAGCCACTCGCACCTTCTCCTTATTTTTTTAATCTGTGTGTGGTGGGTTTTAGCTGTGCCCTTTACCCAGAATTGCTCATGGCTAGGGTACCTTCAAGATCAGATGGGGAAAGGAGGGTAGCCAGAGATCCTGGTCTTAGATGGTTTTCAAGGTCCCTCATCTGAGTAGATGAGACCCTAGTATTTTAGAGAGAGACAGCAAAAGGGCCTCTTTGTCTTTGCATTGCTTCTTTAATCCTGAAGATGGGTAAGACTGGCCTGAGCCCTGTGGGACCAAGAGATGAATTGATCACAGTTAAAGGCCACTGTGGAGTAGAAGGAGAGAGAATTAGAAATCTCGACATTCAGAAATAGGGTTAACAAGATTCCAAGAGACCTGGGAGTCTACTGTTGAAAAACCAGGAGGAGGGAGGAGCCCTGACAACTCCTGATTGCAGAATAGCTCCCCAACTTTGTGCTCCTAGTTTGCACCAACTCCTGGCTTGGCTTGTAGGGGCCTGTCTGCAAGCTAGGATGTTTCCACACCCCTCTACCCTGCCAGGAGCTGAGGGCCATGGTTTTAAGCCTTTGTAGGGGGTGATTAGAAACCCTAGGGCTGCAGCAGTTCTTGAAAGGAGCAAGTAGAAGCTGGTGGGTGTCTCCCTGTAAGTAGCTGTCAGAACAGCTGCAGCTGTGGACCAGGAAAGTGAATGCCTGAGCGGACACCACAGGGTCTTCTGGACTTTTGTGTATAGTCATTGATTTTTTGCTGTAGACCTGATCTGCAGCTAAGGAAACAGATATTCAGAACAGCTGTAATTTGCCCAAGGACACATGGCTGAGAGGCAGCTCTTAGCTGTAGTCTCTGGCTAGGTGTAGAAAATTAATTATTAGCAGGCACAAATGAAGTGACATTGCTGGGGGTGGGGTGCAGGTGTGTGGAAAGAAAGCACTGATTGGAGGTTAAAGGCAGAACTTTGTTGTTTTTTTCTTTTTTTTGGTGCTGGTCCTGGGGCTCAAATCAGGGCTGGACACTAGCCTTGAGCTTTTGTGCTCAAGGCTAGTGCTCTACCATTTTGAGCCACAGCTCCCCTGGGCTTTTTGGTAGTTAATTGGAGATAAGAGTCTCACAGACTTTCCTGTCCAAGCTGGCTTTGAGTAGCTAGGATTACAACTTTGAGCCGCCAGTGCCCAGCTTAAAGGCAGAACTTTTAGAAATTATTCCTGTGGTCTTGTGGACTAGTACTGGAAATTGAACTACTAAACCACAGGAGCCATCTTTTATGGAGGAGAGAGCTTTTGGTTAGAGAAGGCCTACCTCACGAAAGGAATGCTAGGAAGATTTGGTGTTGAGAAGGCAGAAGATGAGAAGAGCTCTGTGCCTCATTTGACTGGTTCAAGCTGTAAGTTGATGATGGGTTTTTGTACATCATAGTAAAAAATCAGAGCTCATGATCCAAAGTCAGTATTCAAAACCATAGACTTTTTTTGTGTGTATATGCTGATACTGAGTGAACTTAGGGCCTGGGTACTGTCCCTGAGATTGTTTTGTTCAAAGTGATCTCCATTTGAATCACAACTCTGGCTTTTTTTTTTTTTCCTGGTTAATTGGACATAAGAATATCATAGACTTTCCTGCCTGGGCTGGCTTTGAATCATGATTCTCAGATCTCAGCTTTCTGAGTGGCTAGGATTATAGGTGTGAGCTACCAGCATCTGGCTATTTGCTTACTTTATGGACTGAAAAGCAGTAGGAAACACAGCATGCCCTAGATAATGGAGTTGGCCCAGAACCTAGACGGCTTGTTTATCTGAATGGAGCCTGGAGGATGATGGTGTTTAGTAAAGTAGCAATGTTGAGTGGAACAGGTTCACAGGACAGGGCAATGACCTCTGTATTTGTGAAAAATTTGCCAGTGTGGTAGGGGAAGGCAGTGGGAATGTGAGCTGGGCCAAGTCAAGACTTTCAGGACAGGTGTGTCTAGGGGTCTTCAGAGATGGAAAGTAGTCTATAGTGAAGCAGGTGAAGGAACGGGGAGGACTGTTGGAGGATAGACTGCTTTCCTGCCTCTGAGATGGGGTCTGGATTTCAGTCAGTATGCTGTAGGGTATTGTGCTTAGGAGCTGACAGCTTGCTCTTCCCTCTGCTTCATCTTGTAGGTGATTGCCGTGGTGATGGATGTGTTTACAGACATTGACATCTTCAGAGACCTGCAGGAAATATGCAGGAAACAAGGAGTGGCTGTGTACATCCTTCTGGACCAGGCTCAGCTGTCCCACTTTCTGGACATGTGTATGGATCTGAAAGTACATCCTGAGCAGGAAAAGGTTAGTGGTAGACTATTTCCATTCTTGTCACAGTCAGAAAATATGATAGAGCCCCCTAGTCTCCAGGTGGGTGGTGGCAGCATCTTTCCTAACAAGTTAGGGAACTAAGGCTAAGGCCAAGTCATTTGCCTGGGATTCCACAGGAAATGAACAATACTTGTGATCCAGTCACAGGTATTGATACCTGTGATACTTAACATACTTAATACCTCGACATTCCCCTTCTAAGTGTCTACCCAAGAGAAAATACAGGTCCACATGAAAACTGTATCTGGATGTTTATGGGGGTATTATTCATAATAGGCAAAGGATGGAAACAATTCAGTGCTTATCAGCTGATAAATGGGAAAACAATATGTTGTCTATTCAGCCATCAAAAAGGAATGAAGTCCTGACCCATGCATGACATGAATGAACCTGAACATATGTTAAGCGAAGGAGCTTGTCACAGAAGACACATATTGTATGATCTCTTTATATGCAAGACCAGAGTAGAGATAGAAGGAAGACTGGCATCCGTATTGGTGGGAAAGGAGATGGAGGGATCAGTGGGGTGGTAGCTAAGGGTGGCCACCATGTGTAGAACTCCAGTTCTGCTCTGGGCAGTGCTTTAACAGATGTTATGTAACTAGTCCTTTCAGTGGCTCCATCGCAGAAGTGATTGTCCTGATGTTTTAGGTCAGGCAGTGATGACAGAGCCCAGGTATCCCCTACTACGATGCCATGGGCCTGGCGTTCAGTGCATCTACCTGCCTCCAACTCTTGTGCACGTAATCACTGCTGTGTGCTGCTGCTCTTCTTCATCATTATAAAATTAAAATGTCCTTTTCTTTAGTAATGAAAATAAGTATTTAAACATAAAGGTATACAATCTATTGGTTTGGTTTCCATGGTAGAAAAGGCAAGAACAATTGTCATTTATTTCAGAATCCATTAAAATTGCTCACGCTGTAATCCTAGCTACTCAGGAAGCTGAGATCTAAGAATCCTGGTTCAAAGCCAGAGCAGGCAGGAAAGTCTGTGAGACTCTTATCTCCAGTTAACCACCAGAAAACTGAAGTGGCACTGTGGCTCAAGTAATAGAGTGCTCACCTTGAACTGAAGAGTGCAGGGACAGCGCCCAGGCCCAGAGTTCAAGCTCACGACCGGTGGTGTACAGGTGATATACAGAGGGGTTACAATTACTTCAGTCAGGTAAAGAGCACATTTCTTTTTGGACGATGTCACTCCTTCTCTTGCTTTCTCCCAGTTTTTCCCTCCTGTTCCTACAAGTTGTAATAGTTCATTTTCAACATGGTGTCTAGTGAGTACACTGCTGCACAGAAATCTTTTTTTTTTAGAAATGCAACAACATTACCTGTGCCCTTCAGAATTTATGCAGGTACTGTCCTCAGTAGTAGGAATAAAGCATCCAGGAATGCAAAGAATTTGATCTTTGGTACTATGGGTTTCTGCATGGGTCACTATGTTACCATCTTGTTGTTACCTAGCAATTTTGTCTAGAAAATTCCCACCATTAATCTTCTCCCAGAAAATCAGAAGATTGGGATTCTCCCTTGAGAAAGCAGAAGATTGGGGTTACTTAGGTAGTTGTCACTTGTGCCACACTAAATTCATGATGGAGGTCTGATTGAGACTTAGAGGCTGAATGAAATGAGATAGCCATGTGACCTAGCAATCAGTTTAAAAATGAGATCTGGTGGACTCAAGGATCATGCAAGTCAGGAATGGGAAACCGGAGTGCTATCCTATAACTAGGTGTTAGAGAGCCAGAGAAGAGATGGAAGGAAGGTATCAGCATATAATTCCAACATGCTTTCTATAATTAAGGCTGTGTCTGAGCACTGCTGGTTACTGCCTTCTTGGTGGTCCAGATCCTCTGTAGGATAATTTGAAGGAGGTATGTAACTCTGGCAGCCTCACCTTTTGTAGTGGGTTAACACCTTCCTAAGGAGATGGGCACCATCTCCAACCTCCATAACCCCATTGCTGGAGAATCTGTGCCCTCTCTGGGTGCCCTCTGCTCTGGGCTCTGGTGGTTCAGATCACTAGATTATCTTGTCGTAGGGACTTGGGCAGGTATTCATGGGCAGGTATCCAAAAGTACTTTGGCCTGCATAACATTAAGATGTGTGTCAAAAGGAAAGATACACAACCACTCCTGAATCTGCTCGTAGTGGTATTTTTATGCCTATTACATGTTGATTCTTTAAGACTCAGGAGTCACCTGCTTCAGTCAAGCCTTCCTCCTGACAATTCCATGTGGGTATCTATGAAATTTTCTACATTTTTTCCCCTTTTTTTGTTGTGGTATTGGGGTTTGAACTCAGGGCTGCTTTGTACTTGATAGGAAAGTACTGCTTGAGCTATCCCCATGGACCTTTTGTTTATATTGTGTTTTGGAGATAGGATTTTACTACCTTTGCTTTGGCTGTTCTTGAACTCATGATCCTCCTATTCCCACTTCCTGAGCAGCTGGGATTACAAGGTGTGTGTGTGTGTGTGTGTGTGTGTGTGTGTGTGTGTGTGAGTGTGTGTGTGTGTTTTCATTTACTTTGAAATAGTTACAGAGATGGGGCTGGGAAGGTGGCTCAGTGGTAGAGCGCTTGCCTTGCAT